AGGACGACAGGACGGCGGAGGAGAAGAAGGTGGGATCCGACAGCGACAAAGAGTTTTGAGCTTGCCGCCCCTCAAGCTCATCGAAGTCAACGGCTCTGAAAGGATGGCCGAAATGGTTTGTAGTGGCAGGCTCTTCGGCAGTGCATTATTCAGATTGCAGCAGAAATATTCACATCCCATTCTAAGATATTCCAACGGGCAGCGAAGCATCTTGCTGCACCAGGGCGACACAGAGGACCCTCCCTTCTCTATTTCAATGGATGAATTCTATCAGCGTAGCATGCAGGTCCGCAGTATGCAGGTGAATGTGCAGACTGTTCCACTTCAGCCAACCCCCAGTGTCTCCAGCAGATTCTTGCATCCCAACCCTGACGGCTGACGACCAGAGGTTCGTTGTTGGGCCCTGCTTCTACCTCCAGATGTACATCGAAGATCGAGTTGCGAGTGAGCGGCGTTGCGACCTTGCTCACTTCCCCCTTCCCTGTCCCCGCCCTCTGCTTCTTTGCCCCGCCCCCTCTTTTCAGGAAGGATGGTGCCGCGGGCGGGCAGCTTGGTCTCCCCTGATAGCTGTCCCGCTGTCGGCCAGTGAAGGCCGTCCTTCCAGCGGTAGCCGCTGGTAGGCGATTGCGTCGCAGCAGAGAGCCTTTCGATGTCGTGCTGGCCCCCGCTCCTTTGTTCGTTCTCCTCCTCGCGGCCCTCGGCCCTTCGGCTTGCCCTCGGTCCTCCGTCGGTCCTGCCTGGGGTCCCCTGGCCGCTCGCCGCTCTCGCTTCGTCGGTGGCCCCTCGTGAATCCCACTTTGTGGGCTTTTGTAAGCAGGCGCCTCACAAGCATTAGCTTCAGCTGGCACAGACAATGGCTCGCAACGGTTATTGTCTTGTCTTGTCCTCCTCCCCCGATGTTTCTCGACCTGGGGCCGATTTCTCATTCCGAGCCGGTTTCGTCGACCGTGCCAGGGCCTGGCGAGGGCTTCCGCTGGCCGAGCACGGTCCGCACGACTCGACTTCCCGTCGCGGTTGGATCACGACGCCAGCGTTTCGGCGCCACCCAAACACACGAGTACTAGGAGGAGGAGGAGGAGGAGGAGGAGGAGGAGGAGGAGGAGGAGGAGGAGGAGGAGGAGGAAGAGGAGGAGGAGGGGGAGGAAACCGAGAAATCTCATGGTATTTGTTCCGTGGCGGGCGTTTTTTGGGCGTACCGTTCGGGAAACGATATGTTACAACATGGGTCTACTATATTTTCGAGTCGGACCCAGACCTCCGAGGAGGAACCATAGTGCTAGTATGTTCTCTTGCGTCCAAGCATGTGTCGGGTGTTGCTAGAAGTGCCCTCTGGCCCAAGGTGCCTCCAGGATTTCCGAGGAGGCCCCCAAGGCCCCCGGAGCAGCCCTCACGAGGCACAAGGGACCCCAGGGGCTCCAAAATGGAACGAAAAACTGAGGGTACCTTGGGCCAGGGCCGCCTTTAGCAACCCCCGAAGCCTTGTGTGGGTCGTCTGCCCTCCGAAGAGGATCGAAATATGTTTGCTGCCGCAGTTAAAGACTACTTGAACAGGCCGAACTAATGCACATGGTGGTTGGCCAGTCACGCGGGCGGTCCACGCAGGACCACTGTCCCGCTAACCACCGTGTAGGATTACGAAACAACGGTTAGGGACTTGAGTTTCTTAGTTTGATATTGTGAAGGCTTTGCGGCCAGTGCCGCCGACCCTGAAGGCGGGACACGCTGGCGCCCCCCCCCCCCAGGACCCGCCTGTACCCCGTGCTGGCCCGGGACCACCCTTAATCCACCACAGGCGGGACTTCCCTCGGGACCCCCTCAAGGACCTCCCTGGGGGGACCCCCCCTACCCCCCCTGTCCACAGTGGGGAGAAGGGGAGGAGGGGCCGGGAAGGGGAGGAGGAGCCGTTTTTTTCATTGCTTGGGGCATGACGGGCGTCATGGCCCCCGCTCCTCCCCCCCTTTTTGACGTAACGCTCCCCACCCATGTGTGCTCCGGGCACTTGCCGCCGTGCGCATTGGGATCCGCGTAGGAATCCGCAAAGGGGTCTGGTCCGCAGTCGTCGTCGTCGTCGTCGTCGTCGTCGTCGTCGTCGTCGTCGTCGTCGTCGTGGCTCGTCGCTCGTCGCTCGTCGCTCGTCGCTCATCGTCGTCGTGCGCGCGGACGCGGCTGAAGCCTTTTTTTTTAATCCAGGCCGATGACGGCAATCATCTTGGGGGGGGCAGGGGGTCGATGACGTCACGTTTCGCGCCGGCGGCGTCCTTGGAATGGCGGAGGACGGGTAGCACCAGCATGCAGGTGTTGATCTGCACCACAACGCCTGTGTACACCACAGTGCCTGCGTACACCACATCGCCTGTGCACACCACACCGTTTATGTACACCAAAGCAGCCGCTTGCAACACAGCGTCAGTTTGTGCCACCGTGCCTGCGGGCACAGAAGCTCTTGTGTACCCCACAGCGCCTGCGTACACCACATCGGCCGTGTGCAACACAGCACCAG